ATGGATGGAAACTATTTCGTCAACCATCGATACAGGCGGCGAGACAACGGACAACGGAGTGGGGAATGCGCTTCGGCGAACGTAGCTGCTTCGGTCGAGACCGCTTAAAAATAATAGGATATAAAAGAAGCAGGTTTTTTGAAACAGTTACGGGCATAACGCCTGGCGGTCGAGATAACAGGAGCGGGAAAGGAAAGCTGCTGCATCGGTCGATTGTCGATAGAGGCTCGCAACGGGTTGGAGAAGCAGTCATTTTAGATACGTTGTTTTTCAACCTGTTACGAGCATAACAGGGCGGTGGTCGAGATAATCGGAGTGGGAAAGGAACGCTGCTGCATCGGTCGATTGTCGATGGAGGTTCGAAACAGTTTGGAGAATAACGCATCAGTTATTTTAGATAGCACATTGTTTTTCAACCTGTTACGAGCATAACGGGCGGAGGTCGAGATATTATGGCGATGTATGTTTCAGTACTTACTCTTTAAGTTTCAATATTTAGGTATTTATTTATTCTGAAAAATTTTCAGAATAATATTTTAAGATTTTTTAAAAATGTATACAGAGTGTTTTGAAAAATCTGGTCATTGATTAATCACGATCCTGCTTAAAGCCCTTGATGTAAAAAGCTGATTTTTGGAAAACGGATTGACTTTAGGGTGTAGAGGTTCGATAAGAAGGATTTTTGAAACTCGAATTCTAAAGGGTTTGAAACTACCCTCAAATATTAGAATATTTTTTATTTAAAAACCGGTGAGTTTTTCGGAAAAACTTTTAAAACACGTATATTTTATTATCTTGTTTTACATATATTCAGATTTTTAAAAAATATATACAGGGTATTTCATAAAATATGACCATTGAGTAATCACTATTCTGCTTAAACTGCTTGACGTTTAAAGCTGATTTTTGGCAAACGGATTGACTGTGGGGTTGAGGTTCGATAAGGAGGGGTTTCTCGAATCTCAAATTCCAACAGGGTGAACACGCCCCTCAAATATTACAATATTTGTTATTTAAAAAACGGTTAGTCTTTCGGGAAAACGCCTGGACACGCATAATTTATTTTGTTTTTTTACATATGTTGACATTTTTTCAAAAATTATACAGGGTGTTCCAAAAAGCTGAGTAATTGTTTAACCACGATTCTGTTTAAACTGCTCGACGTTTAAAGCTTATTTTTGGCACATGTGGGAAAATTTTATCCAGTCTGTATGTTAATGGAAATTCTTGTTTTGCTTTATCATCACCATTAGAAATTATTAATTCGACACGAACGAAGTCGCGGGTATACGCTAGTTTAAGTGTAAAATAAATTCGAACTCTAGTGTGTAGTTGGTTTACTTATGAAGAATATACTACACATTTTCTTATATTGTTATTTTTTGACCGCAAATGGTAAAATCATAACTAAGAGCTTCTCGCCCGTCGAGTAAGATGCACCCTGTACACTGCTACTCAATTCAGGATCTACGCGGATCGAGGGGCAGGGCGTAGGTAGATCGGAATATATAGGTATAGACGAGTGGCGAAATTTTGGCTTTTTTTATATCGCAATTTGTAAACAGCGCTTATTTGTAAACAACCACCGTTTTTAGAGAGGTATTTTAGATAACAATCGATATTTAGAAATGTTTTGACACCCTGGAAATATTACCACCGAGCACGTCATTGTTGCAACTTGCAACTGCGTTAGTACGCCTGGCGGTGACCGCCTCATACTTTCAGATATTTAGCAGTAAAATAAAGAAACCTGTTATTTTTAAGCTATTATTTTAAGCTGTTTTTTATTAATAACTATAAAAGTTTCAACTGTTATCTAAAAATAACAGTTTTGCCCATCACTATAATCAAACATAAACGACGAAGGCAGTAATTGTCTAATAAAATAGAAATTAGACGCAGAATACGGTTAGCAAAGACTGCGTCTTACAAGAATATGGCAGAGCAGAGTGATAACAACCCTTACAAAAAAGAATTTGCTGCATACAATTGTCTTCTCGATATTTCTTTATGAGTACAATCCTGGATCATCAAATCATCAGAAAGACGCATGATAGACAGCTTTGAAATGTGGTGCTACAGACGTATGCTGAGAATACCTTGGACAGCTAGAAGAACTAATCTGTCAATAATAAATGAGCTTAACATAAGCATCCGATTGTCGGCTATCTACCTGAAACGCATCCTCGACTCCTTTGAACACATTGCTTGAAATGTCCGAAATTCGGACAATCAATAATTTTATTAAAATTTTTAGGAATTTTGTGCCGCCATATTGCTTTAAGTTTATGTCGTTTGGGTCACTTTTCATATAGCACCGAACGAAGGTGCGAATCTTAACAATATGCCATACTGGTTCAAATCTACCCTTGATGCAAGTAGTTTAGCACCAAGACCGTTGGTCGGTAAATGTTTGGATTTTTTTTAATTATCTGAATGAAATGAACTATCCATAATTTCTAAGAAATGAATTGCCAAATTTGTTAGAGGACATGATGAAATTACATTTGTTGCAATTTCATGAGCATGAATGCAGTTGGTGTAGTTGAGGCAGTGCTGCCGCTTATTTTGCTATGAATGTGTGGGGCTTCTTGGATACCACTTATTTAGTAGATAGAGACGATGGAGCGGCATATTTCTATGACCAGCTGGGTCATCGGATTCAATATGCCTGGGTTTTAATTGATGGGGTCGAATCAAGAACGAATATGGGTAAATAATAATTAAATGGGTATTAGAATGAAATTAAAATATATGTTTTGATATTTTGACATAACCAATTTACCTCTTTTTGTTTCCTAGCCTACTATTATAATTTTTAGACCATATAATCCTAAGCGGCAGCCTAACATGATTTGTTCTCTTAATATCTCCGGTTAGAGAGAAGATAGAAAGTTACGGTTTGCGCGGATATTTTGGAAATTTTGTGCTCTATTTAACTGTGCAACGAGAAATATAGCCTCCTATTTAAATTTTTTACGCAACAGCGCAATATCTGTTATGATGTCAAACAGCGCCCTCTAGCTACCACGAAGAAAATTGTGGAAACAAAATTTATACTGGAGATCATTAAGGAAGAAAAGGTCTTTTAAACGAGCCCTAGTTTGTTTAAATCGCGTAACCTAAACCAGAGTTATCCTTATTTTAATAAAAGCAAATATAACCTTCCCCCACCACTTTATTTTATGAGATAGAGCAAAATACTCTATATCAAAAAAATTACAAATTTCTCGATGATTACAACAGTAATATTTAAAATACCTGTTCACCTGCAAATTTTTGAGAAAAACCCTGTTTTCTGATTGGCTCTTAGAGAAACGCCCCCTAGCGGGCATTTTTCGAACTTGAAAATAATTTCCAGCGATTTCTCTTGGTCGATTTACTTATTAGAATTTTTTTTCCAAAGTTATACGATAAGTAGTTTCTGAGATACAGCCGGCGTCCATTCTTAGTTGGCCACCCGGTACTGTGTGCGCATAAATAAATAAATAAATGCCTTTATTGTCACAAAATTTTACAATTTGTAGACAAAGGTAAAGTAAACAAACAAAGTAAACAAACAAACAAAAAAAAGATTTAAAGGGCATGTTTCAAAAAGTGACTTATAATGCGGTTTTAATATAATATTATTTTAATATAAAAATGTTGTGGAATACCACCCAAAATACACACTTTTATGCAAATGCCTAATAATTTTTAACGCTTAATTTTATTTAAGAAGAGAAAAATTTTTCAACCTAACCAACAATTCATATTTATAGTGGTTTACAGTAATTTTGTCAAATTATACGAATATTCTCGTTGATTATTGGTTTGAAATAAATATGACAGAGTCCTCCAATGAAAATGCGAGTTACTAACTCTAATAATTCTAATTCGAAGCTGACAACTGGTTATTCAGAAGCTACAAACCTATCGATGAAAAGATACACGAAAATTACTTCCTAACACACAACTAGAGGATATTAGTACAAAGGTACAGTATCAAGTTCAGTATAGTGATGTTCTTAGCCACGTATGGCAAAGATCGCTACCCAGAGCGAGTTAAATTGTTCTACAAGGGGGTAGATCTACCCCGAATGGGGTAGCTGTTACCACTTTTCCTGACGCTAGCTCGTGTGTCGCGGCCTTGAATTAAGTTACACTTCAAAAAATCATTATTTTTCAGGTTAAAATCAATATATTCTTGAGATATGCAAGTATATTAATAGTTTTATTGTCATCCGGTATGGATCATCTGATAAATACCCACAGCGATCGATCTTCTCTTAATGGAATAGGATTTCGCAACGATCGAAAATAGACCTGAAGAGATAAGAGTTTAGAGCGAGACCAAGTCCGTTTTCCCAATCTAATTATAAAGCGGAACCGAACGCGACGCAGCGGCTAGGGGGCATCTGCTTCGCGAGATACGGAAGATTTATTCGTTGCAGAACTATCTTCTTTATAGATTTATACCTCGAAGAAATCTCTCCTATTGGCTTCCATTCGTTTGTTGGTTAATTAAACAACGACCTATTGATAATCGGGCGTTATTGGGGCCGGAATGCCGAGTGCACCTGCGGAGAGCCTTACGGTCTTGGTTCTTTCCAGGAAACGCACGAACCTGTTAGAACCTAAAAGAGGTTCTTGTTTAAATATTGCTGGTAAATTATTTAGTTGGACTGAAGAAGATCTTTACTTTAGTATAAAATATCATACATAGCTCACTCCTATAACTTTTTTATTTTTTCAGATAAAAATCGATATTTGGTATGTTAGTGTATGACATAAATCAGAATTGACTGATGCATTTGTTTTAGGTCACTTCCTATTTTACCGGAAATGACTAAATGGCATCCTCGGTATATTGTTACTGTATTCGATAGAAAATGACCCTCTGAATAGAATGACATATCATATGTCAACTTTAAAACATTTTTGAATATGTTTTATTTGAAATTGCAACATGCGATTCATTCAACGACAATTTGACTCGAAATAACAAGTGTGTGATATAGGGAATCCAAGTCCCGGGACCAAAAATGCTTTCGGGACTTCGGGACCAAATATCAGGTTTGGTTTGGGTTGGTTTGGACGAAACCGGTCCCGAAACTGGTCCCGAAACTAAAATACACAGTATCCACCGGCAACTGAAAAAGCTCTCTCCGATTGGACGCTGGTGGGTGGAATGGTCAGTAAATGCTTTAAATAATAAAATTACTCCGGCAATATTTTATGCCGTTTCATCCTCGATACTAGTATGGAGCGATGATCATGAGGCGCATTTTTTCTTGTTCGATGGTAGCGAGACGGGTTATAAATAAAGATGGAGAGCGTCCTTATTATTGGCGTTGATTTAGTGGGCTCGGCCAGAGAGATGCGAGAGGACTCGTTATGATTCCGCTGGCGCCTCGTACAACATCTAGTTTTAATAAGCAACAAGAAATATGCGGATTCTTTAAATATTCGTACGTCTCGTTTGGTTAGTTATATGATGACACACGTCCTACATTTGTCATTTAAAAATGTATAAGAATGTTAGTAGTAGTAGTTTGTCCTTTTCATTTCAATGGTAAGCATTCAGAACGTCAAAATTAATGGTAGACAAAAAAATTAGTAGAAAAAGTTATCAAATTTTAATTTTTCCACTAATGATACTTCAAAATTTGCGAGAAATACCATTTTGGCAATTTATTTTCCGTCCAGAGAAATTGTGGTTAGGAATCAAAAGTTGATTGTTTTATAAGCTAAATATTAGGCTTTCTCTATGGATGATACCAGAGAGAAACTAATAACTAAAGTGAGAGGGCTTGTAGAATAGGGCATTTCGTAGACAAGTTTATTTTGTCACCGCGCATCCCAGGCGCGCATAGCGTTTAGGCGGTCAAAAAAGGAAGTTTTCAACTTTACAAGTTAAACATTTGACAGGATTAATTAGATTATCAGTAGCTTTTTCTATTTCTTAGGTTTAGAAGGAGATAACTAAAATCTGTTGATAATCGGAGCAAATCGGAGTAATAAATTGTTTTTAACTGAATATGCCTGTTCTTTTAGCTTGTCAGAAGAGAAGATTATTGTCATTATTGATTATTTCAGATTCCACGATTATTCGGCATTTTTGTAATTTTTGTTTTGTGGTTGAGACCCAGACAAAACGTTTCATTTAAAGGTAAGTTTAATCTCGGTAATTATTTTAACATACCTAATAGTAATAGTGAGTGCACATAATAATCGTACATTGCTAATTTAATTTTTTTAATTTAAAACATCACATTCTTTTCTGATACCTATGGAACGACTAGGTATTTATTATACCTGGTCAGAGACAACTTCCTGGTATTATTTCCAGTAATACAAATTATTTTCTTCAACTGCTAGGTTCTTGTTATAGAATAAAGACTATCAGAAACATTGAATACCTACGGGATACCTACTGATACTCTGTGCGAGCTCCCAACCGTGCTTCCCTGTTCACTCCCAACCAAGTTAGATAAAAAAGATACTGAAGATTGCAGCCTTGAGTTGAAGTATGGCAAGGAGTATGGAGTTAAATAAATTATTATGTTTCTACACAGTATTTTATTTATAGGTTTTAATGCTTTAAAGTCTAATAATAAACTTTTGTTGTCAACAAAATAATCTAAAAAAACTACGAAGGTTTCTTATTATAAACTTGAAAGATTAAGATTCGGTTCAAATATACAAATTTTAAATTTTTGGCGCCAGTATATAGGTATGAATGCAACCTACTATATCGATAATGCGCTCATAGTCTGGGTTAGACGCCAAAGGCCGCGCCACTAACACAGTCTTCAAAAATTAACTTTGATCGGTCTCTCTCACTTTAGTTATAAGTGTTCTCTCTGGATGATACCTCTGACTAACGCAAGCTTTAAATATTGTGAATGATCGCAAACTATAATAATAGCTCCCGTATATAGCGTACTAGCGATAAAATCGCGAGTGAATTAATTTCGGGAGACGATAATGCAATTTTATCGTCGTGTATAAAACAATATTTTTTTCCATAACGAGTTGCGTTTTAAAAAATATTCAGAAATTATTATTTCAAGGAATTTATTACCTACGAGTAGAAAAAATATTGTGCTGGGTTGGCGTTGGTTTCTATGTAATTTGACAAATAAGTAAAGTTGTCAGCATAGACTAATGTCATGTACTAGAGATAGATTAGACACTGATATAAAACAAATGGGTCGGTCATTTAGAGCCACCTGGTGATCCGGAAGAAACTAATGGAGAGTTTTTGCATAATATAATTTTAGCGTTCCGTTACTTATTAACGCTAACTAAAACGGTAACGTTATTCAAGCGCAAAATTATACCTTGTAAAATATAAAATAATAAATATAGATTTTTTTACTGAATTTTATGTTTTATTAGATTATTAGAAGTGTAACATAATTAAAACAAAATTAAAATACATACATACATTTTAAACACCAACAATAGAGCACATAGCTCCTATTTCTTTATTTAACAAATAAATTATAATATAGCAAAAATATTATAGACTACTAATTATAACTGTTACTAAAAATACTATACATTACCAACTATGTACTTACTTATTTATGATTAAACTTTTTTTTTATTTTGTTCATAAATTTATCATTTCTAAAATGTCAAAATGACTTTAATAAAAAAGTTTTAGTATCTAACACGAAAATGATGATCGACCCTAAATATCAGAATGCACAAACTAATAAAAACACAAACTATGAACCCAAATCACTGAAATCACCGAACTTTCCGATAAATTAGGAATATCTGAATTACTAATTATTTAAATAATGATTTCAAAATTAACTTGACGGATCACCAACATTTTGTCAACTAGACAAAAACTAGACCATAGACAATAGTCAACATAGGGACTGTCATATCATCTTCATATATAAATTAGAAACCTGTACTTTAATGTCTTTTGCGCCGCCTGGCGATGCGGAAGAAACTAAATTTGGAGTTCTATAAAATTACCATTAAGTGTCTAGGGCATAGTTGTCAGTTTTGAGTCAATATTTTTTAACTCTCTTTCGTATCGATTGCTGATTGAATTGAAGCCAGAAATGGCTCAAAACGAAATAAGTAAATTACCAACAGATATTCAGGCTGAGGCGAAAAACGCAATATCCAAACTACTTCCATTTAAATCCCGAATAACTTATGAAAAGGAATACAAAAATTTTCAAAAATGGAAGCAATTAAAAACCGTGCGAGAAGAAATAAAGTTTTTAACCTATCCTCGCTGTTAAAGTATCATTTAATTTACTCTTGCGGTTAAAGTACTGTTTTATCTACTATTTTTGATAGATATAAAGCGGGATTTCCACATGCTAGGATTACTGGCGTCAGTTTGTTGGCACCATTACCCGTTTCCACAGGTCTATAGTAAATTTAAAACTGGCATGTAATTACGGTCAGTTTTATGAGATGTTAACACCTTGTTATGCTCTAGGGTGTAAGCAATCATAATACTTCGAATTTTGGCCTTTGCGGAATTTACATCAAAGTTGCTGAGAGAATCAGACATGACTCCAACAATTCTTCTTAAGACTTCTTCCCTTTTATTTCGGTCCTTATAATCACTTATTTTATTGTTCCATAAGCAAGGATGTTGTTCGTAGGCATCCAAAAACTTTATTATTAATTCAGTAGATCACTTTTTTGAAACAAACGACATTTTTACGACTGGAGATGCTTGCTGTGGCGCCAAAAAGTACAGGAGCGTTGAACTTTACTGGCACATGAATTAGTGGCGCCACTAAACTTGCGCCAGTCGATTTTACAGGTTTCCACATACAATAAAACTGGAGCCAGTTGAATGGCGCCAGTAATTCTTGCATGTGGAAACCCCGCTTAAGGCAATTTTAACAGTTGCTATGGAAAAAAAATATTTTTTTATACAAGACTATGAGTTTGAGTCTCCTGTACCTCAGTAGATGATTTCAACTAATTATTACGTACTCACATTAGGTCACTGAACGTTTACTATCTAATAATAAACTTTTTACTTTTATGTCTAACCAAAATTTATCTTGGCGGATGATAATCAAAGACATGGCATCACTCGCAAGACCTTGGCACAGATTCATAAAACGGAAAAAGCCAGTTGATATTCCTCGATGACTGATAATCGCTAGCCATCATCAAAAATTAATTAAAAATCTTCAATATTAATTATCGAAATAATTAAAGTGGAAATTTCTAATTGCTTGAACAAATTTTCAAATGCTCTTAATTACAGGTAATAGATTAACTTTTCTTTTCCTTGTTATTATTATAATCTGTTAATAATGAAGCTTGGTTGGTTATTGTTTAATGATTAATATAATAATATAGTTTATACGGGGTGTTTTTCAAAATTGGCCTGTCCCTATAATTTTTTTTATTTTTTCAGACAAAAAAATGAGATTTGGTATGTTAGTATATGACATAAATCAGGGATTGATTGATGTATTCAATAATTTTCTGTCACTTCCTCTTTCACACTTCAAAAATCGTCAAAAAATATGAAGATTTTGGATTTCTAGAGCTCCACTTGGACCACTTTGGGAAGCACTGGCTGGGACACCCATATTTGGTCACAAAAAATCAATGTATATGGCTCGTTTATTTTTTATACATGTATATGGTTTAAACCAACAAATGAACATAAAAATCAAACTTCTATAAATATCACACTAATAACATTTAAACGTACCAATTAAAATAATACAGATTTTGTATCCATTTATTACAACTTTTTAATAATCGAAGGAGACAATTCCTTATATCAAAATTAATCGAAGACATATTGATTACTAAAACATTTATTAATTCGAAGACATTTCTCCATTTAAGGTATACAAGCTGTCGAAAGTATGTTTACAGAATCATTTTTTCTTCTTCCAGAAATAGCCAACTACCTTCGTACTATGCATGTAGCAATAGTTTCTAATCAGTGAGACATTTAAAGGCAAATCGTCTCAATTTTCTTCATTAACATCGTGTTTGATTATCAAGTAGGTAACAGGTATATCAGCGGTGTAAGTAAATTAAGCAACTACAAGCGAAACATTGTAGCTTAATTTATGGAAACGCGGATAATTTATATAGAGCATATATATATATATATATATATATATATATATATATATATATATATATATATATATATATATATATATATATATATATATATATATATATATATATATATATATATATATATATATATATATATATATATATAGAAAATCTGGGATTTAGTGGGGTTGCAGTCGGAAGGGTTTGACAAAGAATTAATACACTTTGTTAATTGTCA